CTACTAATTGAAAGGGAGGATAAGTTCTGCTGCCAATCTTAAAATATATGGCTTATAGAGCATATTATTTTAACTTTAATAATTTTATTTTGATTTTTATAATTCTTATTTTGATTTTTAATCTTTATGCTTCATCTTGTTTTAGAATCCTATAAAATATCTCTTACAGATCTTAATTTCCTTATAGGCTTCTAGTTCCTATAATTTGTTAAAATTGCTATAACAATGAATATGCTGATAAAAGGGAAATCCCAATCAGGAAGTACCTATCAACAAATTATACATATATAGCATAGATAATTTAGCAATTATCAGTGTTAAAAAAGCATGAATCAGTGAAGCAGCTGAACAGCTACTTAAAGCAATTGTCCCATGCTATTGAAGCATTTATGCTTAGCCAACTATGTACTGAAATAATTCATATGAGTTTTTATTGCAACTAACATGCAAAATTCCCCCATTGGGGGGAGATGGGTGGTTGAAAAAATTAATAAATAAATAAAAATAAAATAAAAAATGAATGAATGAACTTCCATTTCATTTATAATTTACTACAAAAGCAAGGGTAAGAAATTAATGAGAAAAGTTAATTAGTTTAACAAATTGTTAATCTTTAAAGTGCAGTCTCTTTAAGAACTTCTTTTAAGTAAAGGTATCACTGTTTCAGTGATCTCTGTTTTCTGTCTGTATACTCATTTAAACATACATACAAGACTTCATTTTCATCATCGGTCTTGTTAGACTTTAAATGTGAATAGTGATTACTGTGGCTTTTCTGATACAGCATTTCACTTGGGTCATATTCACAAAGCTTTTGGGTTTGTGTGCATCTGTATTAGTGTGCTCCATGTTGACTTATGTTCTTCTGTGACTCAGGACTGATATTCATCTAGCAGAGAGGGAAGAATTATATCATCCTGCTTCCATGATAGAATTAATTTTGATTGCAGCATTGGTTCTCCTCCCAGTTTCACTGAAAGTGACATTACAGCATTATTGTTAGAAGGGCGACTTGTGCCCAGGCGTTCTTTACGGTGAATCCCTGGAGACTTCAAATTGGAAGAAGAGATAGGCAGATTTATTGGTTGGTTTTGCTCAGTTTCTTTCTTATTCTTCAGTTTGGTTTGGCCCATGTGAGTCACTTTTTTGTGAGCTGGGAGGCTATATAAATATGATCAGTCAATCAATCAATAAAATAAATAAGAATAGCCACCGGAAGTGCTGGAATTTCCATTGCTAAGCAGCGTGGTCAGATGACATCGCATTTTATGGCTGTGTCACTTAGCAACAAAAACAACAAAAAAAACATGACTTCCGATCTTCTTTTCAACAGTTATAAACAAACTCATTATCCCTCCTCTCTCTTGGTATTACAAAAATCTCTTCAGCCTCTTCAGCCCCTTATTTAATCCTTTTTCAATCATCAAAACTATAAATCATCACTTTACTTTTTTCCATTTTTAGCAAAAAGTTCATAAAAGGTTTCCAGTCTTTTATAAAAGTACTTGTTATTTTATCCCTGACTAAAAGGTCAGTTCTGCCATTGCTGCTAATTCTGACATCTTTACAATCTATTCCTCCATTGTGAACCTGATGCAGATTTTAACCCAAACTAGAAACCATTCCCAGACTTTACTCTAAAGCATGGATTGGTACTGCATCCAAAATTTGGATTTATTTGTACATTGAATTTATTTTTCAATTTTATGAGATCCATAAATCAGAATTGATTTTTTTAGTAATATATAGACTGTACTACAGGGTACATTCAGTGATTTCTATTGTATTGACCATGTTTTTGATAAGAATGCACTTCTTAGAGCAGGTAGCAGAATTAGTCTTGTGGCTTTAGAATTTAGTTGGAGCTAAAGCTTCCTGAAAATTATCATGGTCTATGGGCCTGTGACCTTATTATTGCTCAGTCTGCACAAATAAATAGTGTAATTTCTTAAATTGCATGATATTCACAGCAAATTGAGGTAGGGGGCGGGGGATGTTTGGATTCAGATGACAGAGCAAAAATATTGCATGAGTAATTGCTTTATTTCTGAATTATTTCATGTTCTGAAAACAAAATGACCTCTAATTAAGCCATAGAGTTGACAAATACATGAAAATAACTTTAATTTTTGGATCAGGCCTGGAAAATAGTGTGTCTTGCTAAATGAGAATCTAATAAGGTTTTAACAGGTTTAAACTGTGCATGACAAAAACAATAGTTCTGAGAACAAAACAAGTACTTTAGAATTGATGGCACATAATGGTCAAGTCATTTTTGACTCCTAGCAATCCCATAGATAGATTTTCTCCAAGAATTTTATATTTTATATCCATGTGGTTTTCTTGGTAAAATGCAGGAGTGGTTTACTGTGCAGGACAAGTGGATATTGCCTTCTCCAGCACAGTATGAACTGATTCCTTTGCCATTGTCACTAAAGTGATTATCTGCCTCTGGCATCTTCCTATATCACTGCTGCCCAATATAGATGCCTGCTTGTTTTAGCTGGGCAGCTGGAATGACCTTCATACCTTGGGTGACCCTGCTGGGAGTATATACTCTTGACATACACTCCCAGCATTCTTCACTCATCCATCCCAGGAATACCCCCACCACCACAATGAGGCAGTACAGCAGGACTTGGGGGCGGGGGGGCGCTTTAGAATAGATGAACACAATGTTACATTTTTAGAACTCTATCCTCCTCCTTTTTCATGTAGTTCTTCAAAGATAGTACTTGCCAATGTGCAATGAACTAGATTTCATTAGTAATTATCATCCAGTTAATTTGGGGAACTATTTTATTTGATCAAAATGGACTTGGTCAAAGTACATACATACGAACCGACTGCCTGAGAAAATATTTTTTCTCATTTTCACATTGATTAGAGTCTAATTTATATTTTATTGAAAAATTCTTTTTCTCTGTAAATGTGTTGGGTTTGTATCAAATCTACCATTCTTTATTTGATTTTATGTTAGTAAATAAAATTCTACATATTGTGTAAGTATCTTAAACAATTTCTTTTTACAGTAGGGAAATGTAATTCAAATGAAATTTTGATTAAGAAAATTATGTTTAAATGTTAAATTCTAATACAAGTCATGAAGTATTTTCAAATATTTCAGTTTTAAGTTCAAAAATTGAGGTATTGAAACCTTTAGCATGAGTCTGCTATTGATGCATGGCAGAGAGTAGGATTATAGTTGCCATCAGTATAGGGCAGAATTGGATCTCCCTTTTTTCTCTTTTTGTATTTATCATTAATAATTTTGAAGTTACATTATATTGTTAATACTGTTGCATATTTCTATACTTTTCCTTCCATTAACTAGTTTCAATAACAGTAAAATAATAATAATAATATAAAATAATGCCAGCTTTATTCCACAGTTGCACTTTCAGCAAATGGTGGAAGAAGCACTCTATGCATATAGCTGTTTGCAGCAAGTTCCCTGATTGTGGCCCTTCATTCATACAGCTGTTCTTATTTATGCTAAACATACTGGATAGAGCCAGCCTTGCCACATTTGATGGAAAGTCTAAATGGAATATAAAGTTTATAGATAGCTGTCCCCCAAAAGAAAAAAATTACATACAGCTCTGAAACTCCATTATAACTGGCAAAGTATCCATTCATTATATTATAAAATATAATATTTTTCTATGGGAAAATATAACAGTGAAAAAATATGGTTACTCTTATCTCTGATCAGTATGATTGCTAAGGAAAAACTAAATTTTCAATTACTTTCTTGGTAATTTGTAAATCATAATTTGCTCAGCAAGAATCCCGTCTGTTAAGGAATGTCAGCTGGACACAAGTAATTAATGAGTGTTTTGAAGACATTGCATACAAAACATAGCATTTGGAAAAGTGTTTACATATTGCTTCTAAAGCTAATTGCTTCAGTTGGAAAAATATGCATTTATTTCTTATCCTTGCAAGGAACAGACTGCCCGTGAGTGCAACACCTTAATTTTGTTTGCAGATATTGTTATGAAAGGACAGAAGAGGAAATAAATGAGAATTATAATTTTTATGGACAAAGTTTATTGATAGTGTAATGCCAAAGAAACACACATATATACTCCAGGAATAATTCCTTAGGAAGGTCTGAGCAGCTAGTACCAATACTGATATTTAAAAGAAGGTTAAATAACATAAAATATCTAAGAATAAGTACAGTTTCTTACATTGCATTAAAAAATAAAAAGAAATTAAAAAGAAATAAAGAAATAACTGAGGAGGGAAAAATGGGTGAAGTGGATCTGATATAATCTGATCTGGAAAGTGAACCAAATACCTTAGGTGAAGGTTACAATTGGAGAAATTCTTTTAAGGAATTAAGTGGTGCTGTGGCAAGAAGCTGCCGTATGCTAAATCAAACTAGCATTTATAATAAACCTTTCCTATTCTTACTGTAGATTTCTATATGTTTGGTAAAGAAATAAGGATCTCAGACATTCATAGCCTGAAGCCTGGGGGCCACATGTAGCCCCCAAATATCTTGGTACTTCTCCAAAATATGTCACCAAATTTATAGTATATAATATGACAGTTTATTAATTACCCTGTCAATAATCATGTTAGCTATATTTATTTGTTGATTACTTTTAAATATAAATGAAATTAGGAGTGACAATTTTTTGTCTTGGTCATGCCTACATTTTTGCCCTGGCCCAATATTTTTTGGTGTGGCCCTCATTTCACCATGGAAAGGCCAAGTGTAGGCTTTGGATCAGGGGGGAAAAATGTATTCCCACTGAGAGCCAACTGATTGCAGCAGGTTAAAATTGGATAAATAATGTCCATAATCTATTAGATATGACCTCCACCCCCTCCAGCTCTGCTTTCTATACCGCTAAGAGTAAAAATACTTTCCTACTGTTTATAAGATCTAACTTCTATTCGATCTATTCTGCAATATCTGTAGGAACATAAATACTATTACAAATATGCATATATTTATATTCCTTTCTTTTGTCTCTTCGCTGCAGTTATTCCTGACTCCCTGCGAGTGACCTCAGAAACCCAGACTCTAAAGAAAGTGCAACATGATTCTCTGGAACTGAAGTGTGAGATAACCAAGAATACTGAACAGCATAGCCACGTTTCCATTGCCTGGTATCGTCAGAAAGCAGATGAGCCTCTTGCAGAAGTTATTTCTCTCAGTAGGGATTTTGTATTGCATGCAGGAAATGAATACACCCAACGCCACGCAAGTGGAGATGTCCGTCTTGATAAAGTGGGGGAAACTCAGTCTAAGCTTACTATCTACAATCTGCAGTCCTCTGATGAGGGCGAGTTTTATTGTGAGGCAGCCGAATGGATTCAGGACCCTGATGGCACTTGGTATGCTGTGACTCGCAAGCGGTCAGAGAGCACCATGGTCTTTGTGGAAGGAACTGGTTAGTGTGCCAAGATTTTTTATCCCTCTCATAGCCTTGCATGTGCTCTGTGATTTCAGTTTTGGGTTCAGGGGATTCAAGTGAACAACATAGTTTTCTATGGAAAATTGTTTATTAGGAGGAGTTTCATAGGTTATAGTGATACTTCCCACACCTCCTTTATGTTGACCACTATATCGCTACCAAAACCTTTTGAGGGCTACTACAGATAGCAGTGGTTGGAAATATAGAACTTATGGGTACCATGGTGTATGTGTCTCCCAAGAAAGCAGTCTGCAGGAATCCAAAATTAAATAAAAATACCTATTTTAAAATTTGAAATGGCTAGAATCTCATGAGATTGCCAAATCTCATAAAATGTTGGTTTCCTTCCAGATTCTCACAAGATTTTTGGTGACAATGCCTAAATCTAATGGGATTTGGCAATCTCTCAAGATTTTGTTAATGTACATATATGCGTGTATGTACATGTGTATGTACATATAGCAACTGCAGTTCTTTCAACCATTGGACTACAATGTAATGGTTCTAGTTTTCACTTTTTAAATGTGTGTGTGTGAGAGTGGATGAGAGATTGATTGGTTGATTGATTATTAGCTGAATCGTTTAGTTAGCAGATGCTGGTGAAACCTTGAAACCAAATCAGATGCTTCTTATACTGAAGTAGGATCATCCATCTTAAACTTTGGTGCATCAAAGACTCTCCTGTTCTTTCTATTGGGCCATTAGTTAGTTACAGATTTGCTGATTTAGACCACCTGGGATGTGTTTAAATAGTCTCATTATCATATGGCTATTGGTCCCTCTCTTTAAAAAAAAAAAAAAGGCATTTGAGCAGCTGTTGGCAAGAAAAATGTTCGTATGAGTGACTACAAAAAACAGTGGAACAGCAGCCATTCTACCTGCTGGCACTCCACTCATAATTGCCAATATAGAACTGAATTCCTGCTTTGACAGCATCTTTAGCTAGAGAAGCATCCACCTGTGCATTTGGTTTAACCTCTTAGTGTTGTACATATATCAGAGTGGTTAAAAGATCTTACATTTTTATAAGCTAGAAACCAGAAGTTTAGTTATAGTACTCCCATTCTGCATAGTCCTATCTTTATGGTATTTTTTTGTTCTCTTTCCCTTTTACTTTTTTTTCTTTTCCTGACTTTTTTTTCATTCTTTTTGTAACTGGCATGTCACATCTTCCTCTTTTGCTCTGAACTAACTCCTCTCTAGTGCTGCTTAGAAAAAGGAATTCATGAGACCTTCCATTTGTATGATATTATTGCATGCCATCTGGTCTAGAAGCCCCTTAGTCATTTCTGTACAGAATGTTACTGTTGGGAATGAACTGTAGTTTTACATTTTTGACACCCCAAAAAAGCTGCTTCAGCTGAAGGTGTCCTAGCACTAAAATGATTATCAGGAATTCTGTAAGAGAACTTTTGTTTCCTGTTTGAAAAGTAAATGTAGTTCTTAGAGAAAGTTCTGTAGAAAATGATTTGGCAATGCAAGTATAGAAAATCTGACAAGTGTGAATAAGCTTTTGCATGTATGGAATATTTTTATATCAAAGATAGAATCAAAATTTATATTTATTGTAAAATAGGAAAACAATTATCTTTAAATGTTTTGGACTGTAACTTCCACAATTTCTTGGTAATGATCATACTGGTTGGGGCTAATTGCTATTGAAATCCAAAACATCTGATAAGCCTCAGGATACCTAATCCTGTTACAGAATGTACTGTCTTGCTTTAGGATATTTAAGTTTATGTACAACACATTTTATGAAAACCTACAAAATGAGGAGTATTATTTACATTGAACATATGCCTTTTTTTCTTTCTTTGCAGCTAATCATGGTTTTTATATATTAAAGGTGTTCAGGGAATTTTTCTGATAAATACTTACTGGCCAATTAATATTTAAGGATGTTGAACATTAAATATCCTGTTTACCTTAATATTCATATAAAAGATACCCTACTCTTTTCATTGCCTTTACTAAGCTATGTTTTACCGTGTGTTGTTGTTGTCCTGTGTTGTGTTCCTTTTTGAATGGTGATGTCCTCTTTTTGGCCCATCAGTCAGTACTCACTCTAGTTTTGGTAGGAATTGCTTATTTAGAATAAATGAATAAATAAATTGCAGCAGTTCTTTCTAGTTTTTTTTTTTATCTATTCAGTAGATAAAGTCATATAAGACTGTTTACTTATGTGACAAGCCCCAATTTTGAGGTAGAGTACATGGCTGATAAAAACTCTCTTAAGAATAAAATTCAATTTTGAATTGATGTAACCTAAATTGGCATAATCCCTCAATCTATTAGCATGTAACTAGCTAGCAAATTATTCTTTTGTAGAAAATTAGTATATAATTGCACCACATAATATGTCTTTGTGCTTCCCTATGCATAATAAAGATGAAACAGAAAAGAAACATAGCTTTTGGAAATGAAGTTAGAATCTAGGAAGAGGCAGAATTGTTAATATGTACTGTATGTTCAAAATGATTCCCAAATATTATCTAAGTTTGCTAGCTCTTTCATTTGTGTATAGTGCTGTGACACAGTTTCATTGCTTTGTGTGTGTATGTGTATGTACTGTTTGTTCTGTTTCTTTAGATATGGATATCAACGTTCGACTAGAAACAGAGAAGCGGTCATATACAGTGGGTGAACCTGTGGAGTTCAGATGCATTTTGGAAGTACAGAATGTTGCAAAGAGATATTTTTCCATCTCTTGGGCCTTCAATAGTTCCCTTATTGCTACTTTTGGTGCTAATGCTGTACCAGTCCTTAACAATGAGTTTGCCCAGAGAGAAGCCCTGGGGCAACTAAAAGTGGCCAAAGAGAGTGACAGCGTCTACATTCTAAAAATCTATCGACTCCGCTTGGAGGACAGCGGCAAATATAACTGTCGAGTGACAGAGCGATTGAAGACGACAACTGGTGAATTTATTGATGGAGAAAGCAAACGGCCAAAGAACACGCCTATTACAGTGCTGCCTCTTAGTAAGCAGAAATCTTCTTTGCTCCTGTTGATTGTGTGGGTTTCTGGGACCTGGGTTATGATTACATGACACAAGCAGCTAATGGGGATGACTTCTTAGCTGCTACTGTGTATAACTTGCAGAGGAACCTCAGACTCATTTGACTAAGTAAATGTATATGCCACTTTGCCCACAAAACTCCAAACAGTTTATAGCAGATAAATACATAAATACAGGTAGACGTTGTTTAGCGACCACTTGTTCAGTGACCACGAAGTTACAGTGGCGCTGAATGAGGAAACGTATGGCCAGTCCTCAAAGTTGCAGCCATTGCAACATCTCCACAATCATGTGATTGCAATTTGGGCGCTTGGCAACTGGTGCACAATTACAATGGTCACAGCATCCTGTAGTCACGTGATCACCATTAGTGACTTTCACTGCCAGCTTCGGACAAGCAAAGTCAATGGGAAGCTGGCAGGATGTAGCAAGTCACGGTCATGTGACATTGTGCTTAACAACCATGCATGATTCGCTTAACAACCACAACTGGAAGTGCCAGAACTGCCATAAGTCAGCACAGTCATGTGATTTTTCACTTTATAACCTCGTTGCTTAGTGATGGAATTGCTAGTCCCAATTACGGTTGTTAACTGAGGACTACCTGTATAATAAATTAAATAGTGCATTATACCATCAAATTACGAATCAGTTTGCAGAGTGATCCATGCTTCATAAAAAATACTTAAGATTGCAGCATATACATTTAGTACATACAAAGAGTATTTGTGCACCTACATGCTATATGTTGTTTGTGGAAGAGTTGAAGACTTATGCTGCCCTCCCAAGCAAACTTATTAGGAAGCAAATCAGAATTATCTCAGACTTGTGCAATGGTGGAAGAGAGCTGTTATTTATCTGAACATATGTGAGTTCCTGAGTGCATCTGTTGGTCACTGTCTTAGGGAATGTTGGACTTGATAAGCTATTGGTCTGATATAGTAAGGCTCTTGTGTTCTTAAGAATTTTAGGTTTGGGCTGATTAATTAATGATCAAATTATATCTTCTGTTCCTTTCACATGTCTCCAGAACTTAGTTCTTGCAATATGTATAGAAGAAAGAAAGATTCTCTTTGGAGTCTTGATGTAGAGTTCTTTTGGCCCAAAGTCATAGACATCATACTTTTGTTTGGATCCAAAGCAAACTCTCCCTTCGGTTCCTTTTCTGACACTTTGGCTTCTCTCCTGCTGACTATAACAGGGAAATTGGTAAATAGATCTAAGTTTGATCTTTTCAGAATTTGAGAGAATTTGAAGGCATAATATGTACTTCCCAGAAACCTTCTCACATTTCAAACAAATAGTTTCAAGTGGGTAGACATATTTCAGGTTGACTTGGACCACCTTCACCACTCAAAAGTGCTTCAGAGATGATATGAGCTTCACTTTGCTCCTTTCTCATAGTTGAGGAAGCATATATTTCAGTAGTGTAATATTTGCTTAGTGAACAGTGGGTGTTTGTAAGTTGGTCACGCAACATATATAATAAACAATATAGTGTCAGATTTAGATAGATTTAGTATTAGGTCTGTATATATTCACAGACTTAGTACTGTAAATAGTGCTTACAGTTATTACTGTAATCTGAATCTAGGTGTTATATGAACGGAAATTATATCTGATAACTTACACAAGACAGACACAAACAATGACAAAGTAAATAAAAATGATTAGAGGGAATAATTTTAGAAAAAGATTTGTTTTGATTGCAGAAATATCACAGAAGCAATACATGCTAATTTCTGTCCTACCCATTCCTTCTACATTACTGCTCCTAAAAGAGAGTAGGCTTGGGTAACAGTGAAAAACAATAAACCGCTTTTATTATATTGTTTCATTACATATTCCTCCCAAAAACATTTGGTAAAGTTGTGTCTCATTGGTAAACAGAACTGAACACTTCCCTTAGTACCATTCTAATTTTCACCCACTCCTCTTTAGCTCACTTTTCAGGTCTTTGTTTGCAGTAGAAATAGTAGGATTCCTGCAGGGCAAAACATCTGGAGTTGGAAATAGGAGGAAGTATCTTTTCTATTATAACTTGAATATTTTTAAACCCAGTGAACGATGGAAAAGCAGGAGTTGTGCTGACTAGTTTAAACAAGTTCATGCACTTGCCATTCTTAATTCTCAGGTAGTAAGGATGTTCATAAAATGGATTCTTCTTACCTCAAGTGGTTGAGAAGGGAAGCAGGAGATGCTGTAACAGTTCTGTTACTTTGTGGTAAGAATGTAGCTACATTTATGGAAGTAGCTTCATTTTTAGTTGGTGTTATATGGATATTACAGGAAAGATCTTTAGTATAAAATATCAACATAATATCCCTTTGGCCATGTGAAGGGCAGTGATTATGGCTTGGCCATTGACCCAGAAGTTTGACTGTGTACCTGACTGCCTTGAAGGGATCTACAAGTTGATCTTTCCCACATTTAAATGTTAAACAAATCAGAAGTTTAATTTTATAGAACCACTAAGACATACCTATAATTCACCTGTTATTTGGCTATTACTCAACTTTTTTTAAACAGGCTAATCATGAGAATCATAATTGTCTAAGGTAACATAAAATATAAGTTGACTGAGAGATTGGACAAAATTTGCCTTTGTTTTCTCTTCTATTAAAAGGTCCTTTCTTCTCTTAAGCCAGGAAATAAAGGATGGGATCGAGTACACACACACACACACACATACACACAGTGCTGATCTTAGACTAGCTGCTAGTAACTGGAATCCTAGGCAGATCAGGCAGTTGGCACCTCCATCCCCAAGCCATATAAAAAGCATTTGTTTTTTACCATAACCATCCATCTAGTTTGCTTATATGGCAAACTGCCCCTGGGCACACACATACTCATTTGTGCACATGTGTGAATGTGACTTCTCCAATTTAAAACTGTAATTAAATCAATCAGAATAAATAATAAGTAACATTTAAAAACAGATTTTAAAAGCAGGGTAATAGCAGCAGTACTTCAAATAAATGCATCATATTTAGAAAGTCTTGAAAAAAATAAAAATATCAATATAAGAATGAGGGCCAGAAGCCAGAACACCATAATTGAGAAGACTTTCTCTCTAATTACTGCTTATCTTCAAAGAAAGGAATAGCAAAAAAGAAAATTGAAATCATCATACAATCAGTTGTTGAAAAAGATGGTACTGTATTTGAAATATTTTGCAGTGATATAAGTTTTCAGAAGGAATTCAAACTGGACGTTGTTCCACTGTCCTAAATCAAGGAGGATCGGGCTTTGAGTGTTGCTTTTTATACCTTGCTTTTTAAGTAAAAGTGAGAATGTTATTTTGGAAACTGTTCAGCCTGCTTCAATGTTGTGTGTGACCTAGAACGTATAGCATTAAATAGTAGTAAACATTAAGATTTTGGATTGTGTCTAGCAGTGACTGAAGATGTTTAAGAACTATATAGAAGAGCTCCCTTCAGTCAGTTCTGGTCAAAAGTGAAGAAAACACAAAATTAATCCAAAGATTTATTTTACCAGCTACCTCTTTCCATATCATTGCTTCTGATTATTCCCAAATACATACTACTGGGGAATAATAATCCAAGGATACACAATTTAAACAATAAAAGTGATTATCTGTTTCCAACATTAAAGTGTTTTTTTTTTTTAAACTAGCACAATTTTGAAATAATTTTCCAAATATATCCTCTTATTGCTGGATCACATGTTGTATTTCTGTATGAAGAAATATGCATGTATGGATTATCCCACACAGTCCTGATTGTAATCACATATGTTCTCCTTTACTGCAGAAACCAATATTTCAATAGAAGTGTCCAACAATGCCACAAACGTTCTAGAAGGGGAGAGCCTGAGATTTGGTTGCACTGTTCGCGCTGGGTTTAGACCCCAAAACCGATTATCTGTCACTTGGCAACTTGTGGATAAGCAGAACCGTCGCAGTGACATTATACAACTTGACCGGGATGGAACCCTTCGTCCTGGTCCCTCTTATGTCGAGCGCAGTAGCTATGGGGGGATCCAAATGGAACAGATACGGCCGGGATCCTTCACGCTTGAAATCTTTAACAGCATCAAGGCAGATGAGGGCCATTATGAGTGTCGTATCACAGAATGGACACGTAGGCTGGATGGGGAGTGGCAGATGATTGGAGAACGGCATAATGGCTCAGCAGTAGCTATCACTGCACTAGGTAAGTATAAAAAGTGCCACCAGTCATTACATAAGCAGTCATCAGCATAAGTCAGAGGTGCCTAATCAGCATTCCCCAAAACTTTATATATAGCCTTCAGTTCTTTACAAAAATTGCTGTTACATTGTGGCTTTTTATGTTTTAAAAGGGAAATTGATTGCATATATGAGAAGTAATATTAACTATAGTAATAATTGCTTTGACTTTATATCATTTCAGTGAAATCAAATTTAGTTTTCATCCTGGCCCTTTCCACTTTTTGGAAGTGTGCCCTTGTAGAGAGTAAGAAAGATGACCTTGGTAGAGATATACAGAAGCTGTTGCCTAGGCAAAAGGGGCTGAAACATATTTTAAAACCACAACAGCCAGATAAGATTTGGAAGCAGCTCAGACAGACACCTGCCTAATTCACTGAACTATAAGTATTAAAAGGAGATACAACATAATCAGACTTCAAGATTCTGTTATTGTAGCCAATCTCAATAAAAGCAGTTTTAGCAGTCCTGTGGAGTTGATTTCTTGATCTGGTCTGCCTAGAATGGCTGACAACCTCTTAGCATGCCAGTTAAAGGCCAAGAGTAGACTGAAAAGATTGTTGAACTCTGTTATTTATTACTACATTTAAATCCTGCCTTCCCTCTAAGGAGTTCAAGGCAACATATAAGAATCTCACCTCATTTCATCATTAAAACAAATGATTGACCCAAAGTCATTTAGTAACTATATGGTTGCGTGTATGACATATATACAAGCAGTTAATTTAAACTGCCCTGTTACTATTTTTGCATCACCTGTTTTCATCTTCTGGGGAAAATAACCCAGTAAACCTTCATTTTTCTTTTTTATGCCCCAAACAATATGTACATTACATAAGAATTAACTCTTAAATGCTTGAAATAATTGTCTCAGACAGTAAGCTCTGAAGCAAAAAACGTTATAATAACTCATGATTCTTTTAAGCATGTATATCACAAGTGTTTGCTAGTGTCCTTGGGAAAAGTGATGGAAGTTTGTCTGTCTTAGAAATAGATAGTAGTCTATTTGTTCTGGTAGTTTTTCATTGTTTAGTCATCTTATTTTCTGTGGGCAGACAGGGTCATGTCTGTTGGTCATGAACTTTCTTAACTCCCAGTAGAATTCTCCTTGCCATGTGTTGGTGATTATGGGATTTGTAGGGAAGTAATGTCTAAGAAATTATTTGAGTGATATTTTCTTCTTTTAAAAATGGTTAGAGCTAATCTAAATTAGATTTTCTGTCTGAATATTCATAGGGGATTTTACATTTCCAGATCATGCTTACTTGCAGGTGTGAAAGGGCACAATTCCCAATCCCATATTTCTCTTGTAATGGTAAGGCAGAGGATGGAGAAAAGTGAGAACTAATAGATGATACAAATGGTGAATCCTTGTTCCATATGCTGCTTTTCCTTAAGCTTAGCCTCTAATGCTGTAGTTAACCTCTGATTCCTAGAGAGGCATAGGGAAACTGGGAAGCTGGGCTATTTGGCATTTGCACAACCTCACAGGGATTGTAAAAGTTTTAAGCTCCCCCCCATTTTTTTTTTTTTTATCCTGCTTCCTTATAAGTGCTTTCATTGTTTTGGAATGGCTCCAATCTTACTGTGCTATCCAAAACTAGTAGTTCAGTTGTTCAAATGTTTATGAATTTTTATGACTTGATGGGCAACAAAATTGTCCATCAGTAACTTTTTCTTGACTTAAGGTAAGCTCACGCTCACATTAATAGCTAGCATCTGGTTTCTGCCAGCCTCTTTTTCTGTTGCCTTAGATTTTTTTCAACCATCAGGGTCTTTTCCAGAGACTTGCTTCTGCATTATATTTAAGCTTTAGTTTCAATATTAGTGCTTCTAGTAAGTTTTCTGCCTTTACCTTATTTAGTATTGAGCATTTTTTTTCTTGCTGTCCAACAATTGCTATCTTGCTGTACTTTCAACAATTTTCTCCAGCACCAGTTTAAAGGGGTCAGTTTTTCTTTATCCAGTTTTTTTGATAGTCCAGCTTTCGCAACCATATGTTATGTCTTGGAAGACTATGACTTTGATCATGTGTACCTTTTCTGGTAGTGTGATATCTCTACAAGTTTATGTTTTGTTTAGATTTGTGTAACCTTTCTCTCAAAAGGCAGATTCTATTTATTCTACTATTATAGAGTCATCATCCTTGTGGATTGTTGAGGCCAGGAAAATAAAGTCTGTTGCTATTTTCATTAATACTTCACTCCTGTTCATTGGGTTGGCACTAGTAATTGATATAACCTTAGGTTTTGTCTGTTTTTAATATTGAGCATCAGACCAGCTTTTGCATTATCATCTTCCATCTTCAACAAAAGGTTACATAAGTTTTCCTCGCTTCCAGCTACCAAAATAGTATCTTCAACCTACTGTATCTGAGTTGGTTAAAAATTCTTTTTATCAGTTTTAATTCCGAAAAGTTATTCCAAAATGAAGAATCATTCCAAAATGTGAATTTTCCCCTATGTATGGGAATTACTAAGTCTACACTATGCCATTTTATCAACAAGTTACATTTTGTACAACTAGCAAGATTTATTGGCCATTGAGAACATATTACTTTGCCCAGTGAGGAAGAGAGAAGGCAGAGAATAAAATAAATAAATATTGTTAATCTTGCAAAACTCGGAATCCAAGACGATATGACACAGAGATAAGGAATGTCTAGTGAAGTGATGCTCTGATTCCTAGAGAGGCGTTGGGAAATTATTTACATGCTATAGGACAAAAGCAAACATTTATGTTCATTTTGCATCTAGTTCTAGTTCTGCTGAATGAAGTAAGCACTGAAATTGGTATGAAAGCACACAGTACAATTAAGTGTTGATATGAAGCAGATATAATCCTATGAGATGCTTATATAGAAGACTGTGGCTAGATTATTTTGCACAATAAGCAATTCGTTTTTCACTTAGCATGATATGTTTACTCAGCCACTGAGGTGAGTAAACTATGGATTTATGGTTTAATATGTGTGATCCATGGCTACAACAAATCATAGGGTAATATAGTATGTTCAGACAGCAAAATATGTAAGCTTCTTTTAGCTCTTTAGAGGAAGGTTCAGAATACATGGAGTAAAATAAGAATTTTCCCAGCTTCCAAATGTGCCTAGATATGCAGGTAGTCTTCACTTACAGACTGCATCATTCATCAACCATTCAAAGTTACAACAGCATTGAAAAAGTAGGCTTATGACCAGTCCTCAAACTTGCAGCCATTGTAGTGTCCCCATGGTTATGTGTTCAGAATTTGGGTGCTTGGCAACCGGCACGCATTTATGATGGTCGTAGTGTCCCATGGTCACGTGATCACCATTTGTGATCTTCACAGCCGGCTTCTGGCAAGCAGTCAATGGGGAAGCCAGCAGGAAGTCACAAGTCGTGGTCACATGATGTTCCGCTTAATGACCAACAGTGATTTGCTTAACTACTGCAGTGGAACTGACATAAGTCTGTCGTGGTCACGTGACATTTTGCATAGCAATGGAGTTTCTGGTCCCAATTGCAGTCAGTAAATGAAGATATTTCCTGGTATAAAGCAAGCAAGCACTATTCAATCAGTAAGCACCAAAAAACCAGATATTTCAAAAAGTGTTTCAGTACAGAGTTAGTACAAACAGAGGAGTTGTCATTTCAAACTTTTTTTTTTTAATATAAATGTCTACTGGATAAGCACAATTCATTCCTGCAATCTGTTGGGTAAACAATTCTTTCAACTAACATGCTATAGAACTGATTTCTGGCCCTCAGCTAAAGCACAACTGTGTGAAGGTAGTCATACCTGCATTCTGTACTTAAAAAACAAAAGTGTCTCTTGAATGTGAGTTTCCAGGAATTGAATCAGAAATCTATGTCCAGCATTATTTCTGATTGTCTGCTGTGAACTCTGCTGTGAACTCTATAGGAAGAGGAGGAAAATGTTAGTTTTTCTTCCCAAATTTAATCTCTTCTTCTCCCGTAAATCATAAAATACATTTCAAAAAGGGCTTTAATACCAAAGTTTGACCTGTTTTTTTCTGTAATTACAAGGACTAGAGCTCTGCTATAATGATGTCCTCAAGAATTAGAATCTTTGAGCCACTTGCTGTAAGGGTACAAAAGTTCTCTTGCAGTTCTGGAGCAACAGTATACCCAGGAGTTGTGTTAAAAGATTTCGTAGAATCTACAGGAATGAGTTGCATATTATTGTGGATTAAAAAAACAGCAAATGGCAACATTTGGGGTATGCTCTTTGATGCAAACAACGCATCTAAAAGTACAACATAGTTTTACAAGTAACAAGGCAAAGTTTCATTTTCAAATACATTGTGCTTCATCACAGATCATTTGAAAAGAGTGGAGTAAGAAGCATGCATTCAGTTTAATACTACCTGCTCAATTTTTCAATTTGAATTCCTCAAATTTCAGGAATGGGATTATTTTCTGTAATACTAGGAGTCAACTTTTCCTATTTGAGTTTTAATGTGTTAACTGTGAAAAAAATTGCTTAGAGCTAATTTTTTTGAATTATAGTTAGGAAATTAGTTGTTTCTTTATGTACAATAATAATTAATAATACAAGTTTATTGATGTTTTAACTGGTGTCTTTATTTTTTTTTCGCAGATGCTGGCTTTGCAGTTACAGCCATCTCCCGCACACCTGGAGTGACCTATAATGAATCGTTTGACTTGCAATGCATTATCAAGCCACACTATCCTTCATGGGTTCCAGTGTCTGTGACTTGGCGTTTTCAACCAGCTGGCAGCACTGAATTTCATGATTTGGTCACTTTTACTCGTGATGGAGGAGTTCAGTGGGGAGATAGATACGTTGGATTCCGAACCCGAACAGCCATTGAGAAATCAGAGTCCAGCAACAATGTACGCCTGAGCATCAGCAGGGCCAGTGACACAGAAGCAGGCAAATACCAGTGTGTGGCCGAGTTGTGGCGCAAGAACTACAATAGCAGCTGGACACGATTGGCAGATAGAACCTCTAACCTGTTGGAGATCAGGGTCTTGCGGCCTAGTAAGTACATTGGCAGCATTGCAAGAATCTGATGGAAGGGTTTAAGGATGAAGGCCTGCCATTCTAGAGTGTGAGATTACTCATCTTTTATAAGATTTGTGTTTGTAAATATTTTTCCCCCTGGATCAACAGAAGGTGCAGATTTTTAAATTTCTTGGTGCTGCCTTAAGTCCATGTGTTCTCAAGAGTGTATATACCTTCAGGAAATGTAAGAGAAATCTGTTTCAGATTCCATGAAATTACCATTAAAGAAAAGTAGTCACTTCCTCCTTTATGAAGAAGTAGGGATGTGTTTGGGTACCAGAGCACTGCTAGAATTAGCAGGAGAAAAATGTGTCTGAACTAAAGGTAAAGCATTCAAGAGAATTCAAGCTGTGCTCTTAGTTCACAGCTGTTTTACCAACTTCTGAAGTATGTATCTAGGACCAATTTTGGGGGGGAAAAGAACCCCTCAGTGTAAAGCTGGAAATTATTGTCTACTGGTAGTCCTTGGCTTATGTCCATTTGTTCAGTGTCCATTCAAAGTTATGGTGGGGCTGAAAAAATGGACTTACAACTGGTCTTCAAAGTTCCAGTTGTTGTAGCACCCCCACGGTCACATGATCATGATCTGGGGGTTTGGGTGGCCAGTTCGCAATTACAATGTCACAGCAAGCCATGGTCATGTGATTGGCATTTGTGACCTTCCCTGTCAGCTTTGCTGTCACTAAACAATGTGGTCACGTGATATTGTGTTTTATGACCACGTAGCTTAGCAACAGCAATCCCAGTCCCAATTGCCATGGTAACCTGAGGACTACCTGTATATACATGCATGCACTTGTGAATACATGTATTTCATGAATCTTATTTTTGGATTTAGTGGGCATTGCATAATGATTGAAAAGTTTGTCTTCCTATGACTTAAAAAGTCTCAAAAAATACTTCAGAAAACTTGTTAGAAGTTAAAACACAGAACAAATAGCAAATTTCCATACTGAGACCATCTCATAGTCATAAAAAAGCATTGCTATAAAGCTTTCTTAGAAAACTCTGTTTTAAAAAAGAATATTCAGAATCACATTTGAATGGTCCCTGTATAAAAACATAAATCAAGAAAAAAAGTTCCTTGCATGTGAAATAATTTAGACTGAAATCATTGTTTGAATCATATCTAGAAAGAATCTGTATGTTTATAACAATATGATCAAATAAGATCATAGGGCAAAATTGTAGTTATTATGCTCAACAAGGATACCCAAGTATGCCATTTAAAGGAGAGATTACTTCAGGCATAAAATGCTGGCTAAATTCCAACATCAGTCAGTAATTCTATTTATCTAGCTCATTCCATCTAATTTAAGTTGGATAATATTCTAGTATATTATATCTATTACAGTAGTCTCATTTGTGTGTCTCAGACTTATATGTGTGTCTGGAACATGTCATTTTTGTCCCTCAGTTACAAAAACAAATGCTTCCCTTTGTTCAGTATGGAGTCCCTTGATGCTTTTTGTCTTCTATTTACACACTATTTTCAGTTTACTGTGGAGGACCTGAGAAGGGTTGGATGTAAAAATCACTGTACAAATAATTTTATAAAAGGGACTTGATGTTAACACTTCTAAAAAAGCATAGGCATTTGTCTCTTTCAAGTCTTCACAGTTTTCACTGCTATTTTTCACTGCTAGTAACAATGAGTTGTAACTGGTAAAACTATCTTAAATTCAAAGAGCCAAGTGCTGTATTTTGTACAGAGCAGAGCCATCACTAATGTAGCATAGAACTTAGATCTAGCCAGTTTCAGTCCCCAGGGTCCTGAGACATGTTGAGTTATCTATTACATGGTGATGATGACTAAGCTGTGCTACAAAGGGTAGTGGTAGTAAAAACAGAATCCCAAAGTCTACTAACTATAGATTGACATAAAATAGGCCTTTGGGGATAGTGAAGAAAGCAATATATGCTGAGAAGCAATTAACAAACAGGATACTTCTAGAGTGTTAAGACCAATGATTTGTTTTCAGTGTTACAACTAAATTCGTAGTCTTCTCATGAAAACCCACTCTTAGTTCCCCCACAGTTTCAGCAGTTCAACTTACAGAAGCTAAAAACATCAGACTCAGTTCTTGCTATTGTTAAATAGATGGAAATCAGAATGTTTTGCTAATCTACCATATTTGTAGATTCTGCTATAACAGAATATGAAGAATAGTCTCTACAGAATTGAAACCACAGGGAAAAGGCATCTTGTTGGATGTAATATTAACCATGCTTTAGTGCAAAAGCCTTTGGCTAATGTTTTTTCCCTCTAACCTTAGATATAGCCACAAAGACAAAATTGGAATCTTTTACTTCCATTTACAGTATTATGTCCAAATCCAGTGAAACTGCTTCTCCTTAAATATAATCTAAATAAACAAATCAAGTATGGTTTTTAAAAATGAGCAAACTCAATATGATACTCCATAACTTGTTTCTCTGAATCATAGTTAATACTAGCTCCCTTTTGTCTAAGTTTGGATAAAATGATAAACTACAGTTAGTTAAAAGCAGAAGTTAACGTTTTTGATCTCCTGAAAGTAATGGTGTGGCTGAAAAACATCATTTTCATAACATTAAATAACAGTTCAACTTTATATCCAAATGAGACCACTGCTTCTCTCAAAAAAGGCATCCAAAATGGCTGATGACATTTGCTGAAAGCAAAGGAAGTTAAATCCCATTGCTTTCCAATAAGCCAAATGTGCTAACAGAGCAGTCTAAGCTCCCCCAGCTTCAGTTCTTTTTTAAAAAAATGTTTCTAAAGTTATTCTGATAGGATGATGAATTTGGGAATAGGGGTCATATTAAGACATACGCAAGGTTTTAGAAGAATTTGTAGGATGGCACTTTCCATATTTATTAGCTCTGTATTGATTACCTCACCCTCTTGAAATACATTTTCAAGTTGTGATCAGTGCCACAAGGTGAAGTAAATATGTCTGAGGGCCTCAAACCAAGATAGTAAGCTTACTTCTGGTCCTACTGTCACATGACAGATGGCTGTGTTGCAGACTACTGAGTAGAAATATTTATGCATGACCTTTGGCAAAGAACTTCACTGATTGATTTGTCCCTTTATCAAATTGCTGCAGGCTTGAGGTATATTAGTGCAGTTAAGTACTCAAAAATGATCTGCATTAAGTGATGGAATGATGGAAGCATTTAGACATGCAAATAAGAAATGTCTCCATTTTGAAGCTTTGTGGCCCTTGTTTTTACTTGAATAATCAAGAGACACAATGCTGGTTGTTTTTGCTTCTGTAAATCTCCCTGTCTTTTCTATAAACTAAGAGAACCTATCAGGCTCCTTCAGGTTGTGAGTACTAACCTACAAAGTAATTTGTGTGGTATAAATATCAGTGCCATGAATTGGCTGTGTGAAATTGTTTGATGCATATCAGATTTTAGACATGACATATGTTCAGCAAAGGAGAAGAATTCTGCTGGGATCTAATATGATTTGAGCATTTAATTTGCTCTGCTTAGATATGTCATATTTGCTATGTTAAATATTTTGCAGGCTACTGAAGACTGCTAGTGGGATATTCTTGCTTATGAATCAATATGCAAGAAGATAGCCATAAAGTCATATTGCTGTGTGGTGATGTAGTATCATGAAAAACATGGACTGTGGGCAATCTTTTGCTCCCTAACTTGAGATACCAGGTTCTCTATGCTGCTTCTTTATGGCCTCCTGAAGAATAAAAATATGCATTTGGGATGTCGTTGTAGGTCACCAGCAATCTTTGGTTATAGTGAATGATTGGTATCATACATTTCCTTACCAGTATGCTGTAATATTACATGTGGAGATGGGGGCTGGGACAGGTGGAAATAATATGTCTGTTATATATTAAAAATAAATCTATTTAATTAAGAAATCTCCTTTACCTTATACTTTTTCCTTCTAAAATATCTGGTACTTAAGTGGTGGCTGGATTAACTAATCTTGAAAGAAATACACTGAGATAAACTGCAACTGGTTTATAAACTTACTGTGCTTTATTTATTTGATTGATTGATTGATTGATTGAAGCAAAAATAGATGAGATGTAAAAAGCTTTCCCCAAAAGTCTCAAATTTCTTGCTCCTTTCCCAAGTCTGGCCCCAACAAGTGGTTTACTTTAGTGCCACCAAAAAGACTTTTTTCCGATGACAAAATTAATTAGGAGAAAGAGTCTTGTGCATTCCCTTTCTAATTTACTGACAGCAATTTAAATTAAATCAGCTGTGGTGGAAATGAAGTAGTGTGCCGAGTGACCTAAAATCGAAATGCTGCCCCATTATGATGAAGAGGAAAGTCCAGAAGTGGCAATGTGTGCATCAGTAATATCATACAATCATCAGTTGCCAGTTTCTCAGATCCCAAGCTAAATAACTAGTACAAGTGAAGTAGGTAAGTAAGAATAAAATCTATTTCTGTAACTTAGGAAACTAATTCTAGAGTGTTCCATTAGCCAGTATTTTGATACATCTGAACACAGAACTGTAATAGAATAGATAAAATATCTTCCATCATTCATTCTAGCATTAATAATTATCCCACCCATTGTTATAAGCCATCAAGTTTAAGTATTTCTAGAATTATTTGAACAGAAATGTCATGAAGCCCTGTTGCTATGCAAATGTAAAGATCAATATAGATATAGTAACACTTCTGATTGTATTAGTTTCTGGTGGCAGACATGTAAAAGCTTTCCAGTTTTAGGTAGCTGAAAAAAAAAAAAGAGGTATCTGTAAGGAAACCCAGATATAATTGAAAAACAGCCAAGAGTGGTGCTTAACCTATCACTAAATTCAGTCTCTGCATCAGGATGTGGATTGTAGCTAATGTAAAGACTGTTCAGTCTATAAAGGTGGCACTGAAAGCCATGGGCCAGTGAACAGGCAAATCGATTGAAACTGTAATAAAGAGCAAAACAGCTAGATGCTGTAGGTTAGATAAGATCAGCAGCTTTTTGGTGCTCTATCTAGAA